TTGACATTAATTTGGTTGCTTGCCATCGCTTAGAAGATATATGAATGTCGTAAACACTAACATCAACACATGATATTGACAACAAGACTAATACCCACCATTGAAGTCATTATTTATATATGTTATTTCCAACAATATTAATGCCTATAGTTCCTAACAATTCTTATAAACATAGTTGATTTCAACTTCAATGCATGCTTTTGTTGATAAAACCAATGCTTGTTGTGACATTAAGCCATGATATTTGTCACAGTGCTGGTAAAGTTATCATGCACTATTATCATCAATACTAGTGTCTGACAACAACATAAATATGGATGCCTGATGTTGACAATAAGATTCATGCTTGTATTTTTAGTATCTAGTCTCTCTTCCACAAGAAGGAGAACCAATTAGAACAACAACAATTTTTTGAAGCAATTATAATACTTCAAACCTCTAATTTTATCTTGGAAACCATCTTATACTTCACATATCTACTAAATTATACTAATCTGTAACTTTTTACGTATATTAATAGAATCATTTCAATTGGTCCATTCTTTCTTGCTTTTTCCCATCTTTGAGTTTTCACAAAAAAAGATATCACGTCTCTATGAGTCACTCTAAACTAATCTTATTTATGTGTGTATCATATTTTTCTACAAAATTAAAATAATAAATGCTCTCTAATCCTTATAAGCATTCATCATGATTAGATAAAACATAAATTTTGACACTTTTTTAAAGCTCTGCAATAATTATAATTAAAGCAGAAGAAACTAAACTGTATATATAATGATAATCAAAATATTGTGTACTCACAAATACAATTATACAAATGATCTAGCTAAATTTCCATTATTGAATTAGGAACACCTACCAAAGTCACTAAATTGAGCCCACCTATTGAAGTGGTTGAGTCGAGCTCACCTGTCGAAGTGGCTGAGACAAGCCCACCTGCCAAAGTGGCTAAACCTAGCCCACTCACCAAAGTGGCTGAATCGAGCTTGTTTGTCGGTCCGTTCATTCTCATCTTCCTTAGAAGGAAAGTCTAGCCCACATACATGAGGGAAGCTATCAAAGGAAGTTGACATATGCACGCAATGTACATATTTTTTTACCTTTATTCTACCTTTATGTATGTTTAAATTGTGCTTTGTGGAAGGTTTAGTGTTTTGATGCAGGATCCAAGGAAGGAGGTCGAACAAAACTTGAAAAATGGCAAATCAGAGTTAAGTGGTTTTCTGGCGCCTAGGTGTTTGGACGGGGCTCCTAGATGCCACATACAAGACATGTTCATGTTGTAACATGAGCAGCTAGAATGTAGAAACCATACCGTGACGGTGGGTCTTAGCCACAAGAGATTGGGCACCTAGGTATTGGTTCCTTCCATAATTTGTCTAGAAAACCCGAGAGCTCATAATGTTATTGCCGCATCTACAATGACTAAGCGCCACATTGTCAGTGTCTATGCACCATGATCTGGGCACTTGGGAGCCCGAAGCCCTAAAACAAAAATCGTTACTAGCTCCTAAGTGCCAGCCAGTAGCGCATAGGTGCCAATCTGCATAAATTGACAATTTCTGTAGTTGGGACGTGTCTCTTCACTAGGAAAAGTATAAAAGTAATGCAAACGATCGGAGAGGAGCTTTTTCTGACATTTTTGAGGTGGAACATCTTAGAAGGCCATAGAAGATCTATAGCTTGCAACTAAGTGCAGAAAATTGAGTTAAGTAGTGTTTGAGAGACTTTGTGCTTGTATCATCAATTGAACAAAGTGAGAAGAAAGTGATAAGTACTTTGGAAAGTTCTTTTGTAATTTGTTTCATTCAATTATTGAAAGGCTTTTTCGTTGCAATTTTTTCACTTACTATGTTTATGTTGGTGAATATGAGCATGTGTAGTGAGTATTTTCTCTTTCTCTAATAAATTCGGGATGTCGCATTGTTGAGTGTGATATTTCTTATGTGATTTTTTGCTTAATCTTAAGCGGTGATGATTCTCTTTTTAACCTTCTTTTAATTTCATTCTGACAGAGTGAAATGTTAACAATTATCATGAAGTATGAATTTCAGAAGAGCGTAATGGAACGACTAAGTTAATCACACCAACTTAAGAATTTTGTTTCAAAGTTAGTGCAAAATTTAGGGAGAACTAATTAATTAGGGTTAAAAGTTGAATTTATGGAACTAATCCAAGTTTTCAGCCTAGCTTCATTAGACTACCAGATGGGGGTAAGGAAGAGAGATGCTCTCGTTTGCTAACTGTTTGTTGAATCACTTATTTTTACACTTAATGTTCTAAGGAACCAGTTTATGAGAGAATCTGAACATTTGAAAACCACAGAACTTTCACATGTTGCTAGTATAGGGTCTTTTGACTCAATAATATAAAAGAAGTTGATTTAGTCATTGCGAAAACTACAATTCAGGCAAGGACCAACAACAAAAAATTAGAAATTTTCCTTTTGCAATTTGTTTCATTCTTTGTTGGACTGACACACGAAACTCATTTCCGTATATTATTGATATGCACGTTTACTTGCGTAAGTCGCCCCTGTTTCACTGCACTTGGAGCGTGTCAGAAGCCAACATGACTAATAAGAAGTCATCAGGACCAATAATTAGGTCTGTCGATCCTTTATTGAAAACATCGAGCAACACTTGATACTTAATCTTTTCACCCAAGTACTATGAATGGTTGTCGTACCGATAATACTTGATATCCACATCATAAACTTTCTATGAAGACACCGAAGAAAGATGGCATACAATACAAGATGTACTACTTCAATTATTTTATTGATTTTCTCTCTTATGTATGAAAGAAGAGGGAAAAGAACACGGAATAGGATTCTTCTCTTTCCTCTCGGGAGGTCGGTTTAGATATTTATTTTCCTCTTTTCCCTCTTTGAAAACCAGTACACAGGGAACCTCTGAGAGTTAACAGAGATTGGGATATAATATATTTCTTATGGTTCCCTTAAAAGACTGCCGTCCATCTCTCTCTCTCTCTCTCTCTTTATCATTCTCTGTAAGATACAAGATCATTTATCGGATTGTATGCACTCATGGATAATATGAGACCCTACTTCTTAATATGATTCAATATATTGATTTATATATCTTTTAAAACCATCAAAATACCTTTTATTACCTTTTTAAAAGTGAAAAGTATTTTGGTCATTTTAAAATTTGAGACCCTACGTCTTGATATCATTCAATATATTGATTTATATATCTTTTAAAATCATCAAAATACCTTTTATTATCTTTTAAAAGTTTGAAAGTATTTTGGTCATAATTCATCGAGTTAAATGAAAAAAAAGGATCACAAAAATTTTTAAAATTTGTTATATTTTATAAAACAATTGAATAACTTTCCTCACACCTCATTTGTTCTTCTTTAAAAGGAATAAGCAAGACAAAGAAGTCACTGAAATTATTACTTGATGCCATAAATTTATTTCAAATAAAATTTAAATTTCCAAAACTTTTCATAAAAATTATATCAAGCTGTAGCATTGAATTGAATTATAATGAAATTTCACAAAATAAATCAGAAGTTTGCTTTTTTTTTGTTAATTTTTTTATAACTCTTGGGGAGAAAAAGGATTTATCAGCTCAATTTAGTAAGTCCAACCAAACATAAAAATGCACAAATTTCATAAATTTATAAAATTTTAGATTTAAAGCCCAAATTTTACTTCAAATTGTATTAAATTCAGATTTATTAATTCATTTTTACTGCAGCCAAACAGCCCCTCAGGCATGGTAAGATTGCTCTTGCCATCCCAACCCATCACAGAAGTGATTTAAATGCACAAGAACAGTAGCTGAAATTAAAAAGTTCGAATTTTTCCTCATAAGGCTAAAGATTCCAAAGAACCTAGGACCCGGACCACTCAGTAATCCAAACTCTACACAGCAGAAGCTTTCATTTCCAATAGAGACGCAATGTAGCTGACAGCCACCCCTCCCCCCACTCATGAAGCCCTACTCCTGCTGTAGCTCGCATAGTAGCAATAAATAAAACTTTTAATTATCAGCTGCTGAATCAATGTCTGCTGATCTCAACAGCTCTCGTACATCACAAATGGAGCTCTCCCAAAGCCAGCAGCCAAGCCGGCAAAGCTGCACCACGAACAGCTGCTTCCTCCCGTACCTTCATGTCACTCATAGCCTCCTCCTATGTAGCCTGAAAACCACCAGCCAAATTTCCCCAAGGTTTTCAGCTGTGGGTGCCAGCTAGTTTAATAGGCAAAGTTACTTTTTTTTTTTAAATTTAGGAAGATTCGTAAACCTTAATTTTTACATATATGTCCTTTAATTTAACATGAAAATGGGAAGATTGCTTTTAGTTGTGTTCTTGAGAAAAGATGAAATTTTTATATGATATGGATATAAAAAGTAAGATTTTTTTGTTGGATTTGTTAATGCCTCGAACTTTTAATGTTTGTTGTTTGAGATGTAGAGAGGAGAGTTCATCCTCCTACATGCAAGTTACATGAATGAAATGCAAAATAGTTTTTTAAAAATTTAAATGCTTCAAAATCTTTTTTTTTTTCTTAGGTTATTAATTTATGATCTGAGACTATAAACTAAGATTAGATTTGATCAATTTTTTTAAAATAAATCTGCTTCTGTTAAGGGCTTATTCGATAAATTATTAGAAGTATTTTTATATTTTAATTCTTAAATACATTAAAAATCTTCCATTTTCATGATAAGATGTGCTGCGTTCTAATTTTCCATTTACCAGCTACAACTTGGCTGAACACTCATCCAAGTTGTCCAGTCTTTCAATCAAATCGAATAGTAACTGATTACTTCACAAGAGCTTCTTTTAGTTTTACAATTATAATTAATTTAAGCCATTAAAAAAGATTAAGAGCTGTTAAGAAAATAGACATGAGATATAGTACCAAATTGCAAAAAAAATCCTTAAAAAAAGAAAAAAAAATTATTTGATTTTAAAAATAATCAATCACTAGATTAAAATATTAAACGTATGACTGATCTGTTTTTAATAAATTTGCATAATAATTCACACATTCGTGTTGCCATTTAAAGAGAAATTAAACCCCACAAAAAAGAAAAAAAGAAAAAAAAAAAAGGAACAAAGGTGGTGTGTACGGTGTGTATTGGATCTCTGCGGTGAGATGTCCCTCTCGCCATAATAGTCTATCTTTTGTTCTGACTGCATGAGCCCGCAGTGAACTGGTTCGAAGGACCGACGATAGCGACACGTCATCCAACTTTCCTCAGGGGCCACATCTAATCCTCTTATTTAGCTATCCACCCCCTCACAAAAATTCTCTTTGTCAGATTCCCCCCTCAATTGCCTTTATTAGTCTCTAACCACTTTAACCATGCTCACCCCCCCGCCAATTATTTCAACACCCCCAAAATAGCAAAATCGCATTCTGAATCCACCCCTTCACAGGTTGCGACTTTAATGTTCCAGCACAAATCATTGAATTCATTCATTTCACCCTCCCCACCTTAGAACAGAATGTTTGCAAACAAAAAAATTCTAATGAGATGGAAAAAAAAGCATGTAAAAAATAAAGAAAGGCAGAGAGGATAGAGGCGCTGTCATTTCTCTTTTGTCGACTATCTCAGCAAACAAAATCTTGTATTTTCAATTTTCAATCCCTTTCTTTTTTTTCCGGGTCAGTTCGGGTCAGGGTCTGCCCAGTGACTGCAACCTCTTCTCTTTTGCAGCCAATTGTGAGTGGTCTTCACTGCTTGCGGTGGCCGGAATCCTGATGATGCTGCAGCTACGGCGGTGGCGGAGCGGCATGCAGTGGAGCCCAACTGCTTCCACCGTCGATCCCCAATGACAGATGAACATCTCCGCCGTTCCTCGCTGCGGCGGCCATGTTGCCGCCAAGATACTGCAATGCAGGAGGAGGTATTTATGGTCCCATTTTACAAAATCTCTGATTAATGGGAGCTGAAAGGTGTAATTTTTTTACATGGTAACGGCGGCCATGTTGCCGCCAAGATACTGCAATGCAGCAGGAGGCATTTATGGTCCCATTTTATAAAATCTCTGATTAATGGGAGCCGAAAGGTGTAATTTTTTTACATGGTATAAGAGAAAAATGCAATTTTGACGGATGATTTAGATGGAACTGTGGATATATACGCACTTGGTGATAGATGGAAGGATGAGAGAGATGGTGGCGGATGAACGGAAAGCCGACTGGCTGTGGTTGTGGCAGCGGAGATTGCTGCTGGATGTAGGAAGAATGCTTCAGCATTTCCATATGATGGCCGAGGTGGAAATTTACTCTACTCTCATGATCAGGCAGTTTGAGCTATTAAAGTTTCAGATGTAAACAAATGTTAAATAATGGAAAACAACAAATTTCAGGCACTGAAAATAGCAATGGTGTTTAGAAAGTTCATGCAAACCTTGGTGGTGGCGTTGATGGCCTCATGGCAAGTAGTCAGAAACCGTTGATCTGCGCCGCCGCCGCCGCCGCCGCCGCTGCTTCCGCAGCCGGAGCTCTCCTCATCCATTGGGCTCATTGCGCTTATCTTTGACGCTGAGCTCCCCAAGCTCAGATCAAGATTGTGCTCAATTTGCACAGCTGTGGAATTGCAAAACCGGTGAATCATTGCAGACAAATTAAAAGCATGTTGTTTAGTTTCTTACGTGAGCAACCAAGCTCATCGGCGTAGATACTGGCATCGAAGTTCGTCACTGCATCCTTTCCATTAAATTTAATCGCTGCCTTGTCATAAGCTCTGCAAGTATTAAATAAATTGCGATGCATAAATCTTCAAAGCTCGCAGCTTTTTGGAGGATTGATTGTTTTGGTGAAACAACCTTCTGAGTCAGGTGCTTACCTTGCTGCCTCCACTTCGGTGTCAAAAAGGCCCAAATATACATACCTGCAAAACGAAGTGATGATCAATGAGAGGATAAGAGTAAGGTTATGTAATGGAGATATCGGAGATCAATGGACTTACTTCTTCCCTAGGAACTGGCCCATTCTAGCTTCCCATCGGCCGCATTTGTGAAGAGTGACACCCCTGTACTTGGAACTTCCTCTTGGGAACCCGGTGCTCTGTCTTCTAAGCACATGAACAAATTCTTCTTTTGTTAAATTGCTCATCTGCTTCAAATCGTCTTCGTAGTCCTCCAAACTGAAGTTTATGTCGGCTTCTACACCACGAAACTTTATCGCCGCTCGATCATACGCCCTGCAACGAGAATTAAAAAAAAAAAATTAGCAATTTGAAGAAATATTCTATTATAAAAGAGAGATTTTTAGGAGAGAAAAGGTACCGGGCGGCGGCATGGGCTGTGTCAAATCCACCTGAAGAAATCAAGGAGGAGAATGGAAGAACATGATCATCAGAGCCAACGCTATAACAAAAAAATCAATTGAAGGAACATGGATGAACAAATTAATATATTTACAGTATGCAAAACATACCCAAATACACTTGTTTTCCGCAATCCCTGCGAGGATAAACGAAACAGAATGAATTATAACAGTTACTCGAATCAGAACCAAGCACTCAAAATTTTAAGGAAAAAGGAGAGCTTTCTGTTTCAAGCTTTCGGGGGAGGAGTGAAGCGAGGGAACAAACCATATATGGGATTCCCATCGTCCGGTTCGCCGGTAAAACGTCACTCCCCTGTACTGAGAGCTCCTCGACCTCGGCCCTCGTCGGCTCCTCTTTCTC